AGTCTGGCTTCCTGCCTTCATCCACGGCCCCAGGACAGGCAGCCCAGCCCAGCTAGTAAACAGCTTCGGTGTTTTTCGCCCATCCGTCTAGTCCTGTCTGACGGGACGCCAAGTTTTGCTGGAGCAAGAAAAACACACGCCAAGCAGGAGAAATTGCAGAAGGGCCTGGACCAGGCTCAAGACCTCTGTTGCTTTTGGGCAGGGATCTACTTTCCAGGATTGAGAGATCCTTCCAGTCTTTGAGCTGGAGCTACATCCCCCACGAAGCCCCTCGTCTGGGGAGCTCAAGCTCTCTTGGATTGGGGTCACGCGGCAAAACAAACCAGGCCAAATGCAAGCCGAGCTGTTGCATTTCACGCGTGTTAAAGTTGATTTGTTTTAACTTGGTTCGTTTTTTTTTTCCTGGCTTCGCAGGTTGTGTGAATTCAAACTATTCGATTACTTTAGGCTACGGTGGATTATGCGAGCTCAGAAAATAGACTACTAAATAGTTGTATTAGGTGAATGCAGTTCCAAAGGAGTTTCCTGGCTGATGTTGCTCAGTTATGGGCCTCATAATATTGGGCACTCCCAGTAGAGACAGGTCCCCATTGGGTCATCAGGGCTCAAAGGATTCATTGATTTAGGACAAGCGTCTCTTCCCAGCATTCAAAGGATTCCCAGAGGCTCACACCGAGATCTTGCCCTCCTCCCAGGTTATCCGCTTGGGTTCCCACAATATGCCAATCAAGGTTAAAATGGGGTTGGGTAGTTTGTGGTCCACCATGTTGTGTGAACTTGGCCACCACATGGAGCCTTAGCACGATTGATTTGGGTATATCAAGTTATGTAAAACTGGGTTTAAAGTTAAAATGTTGTGTGAAACCAACACAGCTATAAAATCCAGGGATGGCAGTGAGACCTCATTGGAAATATTGCTCCCCAAACTCTCTTTGGACTCAGTGACTGGCATAATTTCATATAATGTACTAAGCCAGTCTTTCTTTAACAATGGCTTATTGAATAAACCACAATTGGCTGAATAGACTGAATACTCTAAGCCAGAAACCATGGATTAAAAGATAAAAGTAAAGTCTCCTGTGAGTCGAGTTTGACTCCTGATGACTTGGATAGGTCTACAAAGTCTTCCTTGGCAAGCTCCAGCTCCCATAATTCTCAGCCAAATTCCTCGTGCATGGATTTGAGACCCAACTCAGCTGGAAGACCTTGGGTTGGCGATGGCTGGTTCAGGATATAAATGCTTGGGGAAGAAAAGGGGTCAGGGCTTGGTGTGGGTGATGAAGATAAAGGAAGGTCAGGACTCCTTCTAGTTTAGGTCAATACCTATCAGTGACAAGATGGACATGTCCATACTGTTTTCCAGGCAACCATTCAGAAGTAGCTCCTATGAACATTTTTCAAGAACCTTTTTCAACTTCCCTGGGATTTCTGTTAGTCTTCTACCTGAGAACTAACAACATCTACCCAAGTCTACCATTTTAAGCCAACCACAACTGCTAGATTCACACAACACACAATGCACCCTTTGGCCCTCAACATGGCACAGAAAGCCTGCTACAGTCCTCAAGCTGATGAGAATGGTGCATTCTGGCTGTCAACCATTGCTTCCCCAAGTTCAACATGGTTTGCAGGAAAGTCCACTTAACCAGACACTGATTTGTTGCTCACGTAGGAGACTTGGGCCTATAAGCTCAGTAAAAAAAAATATATATATTTTTTAACCAGACACTGATTTGTTGCTCACGTAGGAGACTTGGGCCTATAAGCTCAGTAAATATATATATATATATTTTTTA